GGGTAGACGCCTTCAATCTGGCGGGGAGAGGTGTTAGTGTGGGAAGGCCAATCATAAGAAAATATATATTTGCTAGGGATTTCCAAACCTGGTTGATATCTGCTGGGTTGATTGGAGAGGCCAGGAACTTTACGGTGATTTCATCATTGTAGGCTGGAGCTATGGAGTATGAGTGTAGGCTTCACGACGACGGTTCTCCGGCGTCAGCAACATGTCTTATGAATGAATTGACCGGTATCTTTTCGAACGGCGGGTAGGTGGCGGCGGGATACCTTAGGACGTCTTGTGGCTGGCCATATTTTGAGTATACGAGTGCTTTTGCCTGCGTGTAGCCAAATGCTGAGACATAGCGTTTGGACAGAACGCATGGAGTATGGCTGTGGCGCAGAGATGCGAGCAGGGTGCGCTTCAACATTGTGCCGTTCATCATTTCAGCTCACTCGAGTGAATAGAACAGTGGGTGTCTCTGGAATGAATGAATGAATGAATGAATGAATGGATTGAAGGATGTTTCAGAGTTGGTGGTAACTGATCGATATATATGCAAATACAATCCATCTTATCGGGAGGAGGGAAGACTGGACCTCGGGTCCTGCCTACATGAAGTTCCAGCGACGTCATGCAATCCCTGGCAATATAATTCCCCTCTTCTCTCGCTCTGTCTTTCACCCCCCAGCGCTGCTCCTTTCGAAACCTCCCGTCTTTACTTGCCACTGCTCACTCTCCCGTCATCTCATCATGTACCGATCGCGGCGATCTTCTCGTGTTCCAGAGGACGACGAAATCTCCCTCATTTCCATGCAGGAACTCGCCCCGTCACCTATTGAAGACGACGAGGCAGACTACTACTACAATGCAGAGCAGCTATCTGCGAATCCTGTAGAGAGGAAGGCTACCGACCTTTCCTCCTCCAATTACTCCAGTTATTCACAATCTTCGTCCACCCTGATCTTTTGGTGTAAGTTCTTGAGGCACAAAGAAAATATCGCTTTCATCAGTTATAGCGTAGACTCAACTCTGCTAACACACTGCTTGATATACCGGCAGTGGCACGATCACAAAAATACTCGTCCTATGCATTCAGTGCCTTCCTTGGTCTCCATGCTACAACAGTCTCATTGACTCCCCTCTTCCTCGGCCTCGATTCCGGGAACTCCTCTCTTCTCCTTGCGCGCACCTACTTCTACCAATCTCACCCAATTGTTGAATCAATACTCATTCCCGGGTCGCTGCTCCTGCACGTTGGGTCTGGGCTGGGGCTGCGGGCATACAGACACTACCAGCAGAGGCAGCGTTATGGAGGGAGCCCCCCACCGGCAGTATCGCAATGGCGTCTGAGGAACTTCTCGGGTATCAGTTTAGCGGGATGGGCCATGCTGCCATTTGTGGCGGCGCACACAGGGTTGCTGAGGGTTGTGCCTCTGTGGGTGGACGGTGGGAGTAGCGATATCACGTTGGAGTACCTGGGGCATGGGTTCAGTATGGGAAGGTGGGGGAAGTGGATTGGCACCGGGTTCTATACGGTGATGGTTGGGCTGGTGTCCTACCATGTCGTTTTCGGTGAGCAGCCTTTGGAGTGGAAAGTAAATCCTTTGTGCAAAGTTAACTAACTGAGGGACAGGTTGGGCAAAATACCTAAAGATCGACAAGCGGCGGCGCATAACAGGTGCTACAGCAGTTGCAGTAGCTGGTACATGGCTTTCAGGGCTTTTTGTTATTGCCAAGTCGGGGCCGGTGAGAGGATACCTAGGAAAGCATTACGACCATCTTTACAATGTCTTTTTCATGAGATCAGTATAAAGCGCTTTACGAGGGCATGTAACATGAGTTGAAAGCATGGAAATGCGATGAAAAGTGCAGCATTTTGCAAGGCGCAAATTATTTGATAGATACTCTAGATAGTACATATTACACGCTAGCGAAAGTTATTGGTACGATTAGAGCGGCGGAATCGAATAATGATACCAAAGCTGTTAAATACAGGCTTTTCTCTCAGTCTGTAGGCTTCGCCGGATCATATCTTTCGTATCCTTCATCCTCTGTATCACTCTCCTCCGCCACCGCCGCTACTGCTCCTGCCACTTTTATCTCCTCTGGGGCCGCAAATGCCTTCTTGAACCCACCGATTGATGCGGCCGGCACAACCTTCTTTTCCTCTTCCTTCCCAAACGCGCTCTTGAACCCGCCCTTCTTGAACCCGCCAGCTTTCTTTTCGTCCGCGGCGAGCTTGAGAGGCTTGATTGTGATGACCCCAGCTTTCTCATCCTGCCGGCGCTCACGCTCCCGGCGCTTCTCGGCCGTGGAAGGGTCGCGCTGCATAGCCTTCATCTCCTGGAACCGCTTCTTGTGCTGATGGTCGTAGGAGTTCTCGTGAGCTTCAAACTCGTTCATGCGGGAGTAACCCTTTGAGCATAGTTCGCCTAGAGGACGCGGACTTTTAGATATATTGTACTCATTTTTTTCTCATCCAATTGGGCATAGAGGGAGGAGGGTACAGTAGAATGACTTTCGGGCCTGGACTGCGCTCTCTGTTTTCGGAGGTGGTATTCCACCGCTGGTACGACCACCGCCCTGAGGCTGTTAGCATGGCAGTTTGGATGATGGGAGGTGAAGTACCTCGCCAGTTAGTCGTGACATTATTGCTTGAGGAGATTGTGTATCTGCGTGTATGCCGAGAGATGGTATTTCGGAGGTGATAGAAGCTCTGTAGGGGACCAGACCAAGCACTTGTGTCTATCGCAGGGGGGGAGATCCCCAGGCTGAGAAGAGGAGAGCCGCACTGCACAGCATCTGCACGTTGGGAGAACCCCCCGTGCTTTCTATTGGGTGTAATCTTGGCAGACGCACACAAAGCAGGCGAGTGACTCCGCTTTTTTCTGACTACGACGGGATGATTGCCACCAACGTCCATCCACCAGCCCCACTACAACCTCCATCTACCTCCATCGCATCCCCCAGATACAGTAAGGGAAAAAAGAAAAAAACAATTCTAGGAATCTCTATTTCCCATAATTAATCATGCCTGACACCTCGTAAGCTTTCACTCTCCGATTTAAATAAATAAAAAAACTAGGGAAAAAAAAAGGAAGAAAAATTCCTCTCCAGCATCAGCCTCTAACCCCTCCCCCGAAACAGAAGAGCCAACTGGGCCGACGATGAAGAATTCGATGACCCAACAGTCCTCCCCCCTCAGCAAGTTCTGTCAAACCCCGATGGCACAAAGACAATAATTACCTTCCGCTTCAACGACGCCGGAAAGAAGATCAAAACTACACGCAAGATCCGCACAACAGTCGTCAAAGAACACGTCAACTCACGAGTCGCAGAGCGCAAGGAATGGCCCAAATTTGGCTCCGAGAAGGGCCACCCCCGCGGCCCGGATCTCTCCACAACCTCTGTGGGCGAGAACATCATTTTCCGCCCTTCATCAAACTGGAAGAGCTCAAATAAGGAGGAGGACAAGGAGGAGGACAGCCTGAGGGGTCAGCTGAAGGATAAGAAGGTTGCTTGTCGTATCTGTAAGGGCGACCATTTCACAGCCCGCTGTCCGTTCAAGGACACTCTTCCGCCTCTCGACGACGTTGCTGGCTCTGGTGCCGGTGCGGGCGATAGCGGTAATGCGGCTGAGGATGTCGGCGGCTTGGGAATGACAAAGGGAAGCTACGTCGCTCCTCATCTGCGTGGAAAGAAGGGTGCTGGAGAGACTATGGGTGGTGGAAACTTCAAGGACAGAGACGACCTTGCTACCCTTAGGGTTACAAACGTGTCTGAATTTGCGGAGGAGAACGACTTGAGGGATATGTTTGAGCGTTTCGGAAGGGTCACGAGGGTATTCTTGGCCAAGGACAGAGAAACCGGAAGGGCAAAGGGCTTCGCATTCATCTCTTTTGCGGACAGGAGTGATGCGGCGAGGGCGTGCGAGAAGATGGATGGATGTGAGTATCTTTTGCATCTTCTCACTTTTCTATCAAACACTGATAGAGAATCTAGTTGGTTACGGGCACTTGATCTTGAGGGTCGAATTCGCCAAGAAATCAGCTTAAATCTAACGAAACCTTTTTTTTCTGCGTTTCTTTCTTTCGCGCTCCCTCTTATGGATAGTTTTAGGTCCAAAAAAAATATCCAAAATACTCAAAAAGTTTTCTCCCTGTTACTCTTTCATTACCTATCTCTTCTTTAAAAAACAAAAAACAAGCATGGATGTCAAATTACAACCCTGCACTTTAATTGCTGTTGGTTGCGCCGAAGATGTGCTGAGATTGAATATGCGATTGCTCGGTGACGAGGACCAATCCTGGAACGTGGCTCTCAGTCAGTGTCTAGTCGCGGGATTGGTAAAGCATGATATTTTTATTTCCGTTTCTATTCTCTCATGAGTTGATTTCCTGAAATCGTGAAGATGTGTTCCATAATACTATCAAGTCCACTGATTTTAGGACGTTAGCAGTAAGCAAGGCGGATTTTATACCATAATTAAGGTACAGCATCAGGTCATCTAAAGACTATCACTCATTATTTTCAGTCGGCAACTTGAAAATCTGGTGAATAAAAAGCCAAACCTTTCCAAGAGTTCTTTATCAGCTGGGAATACATGTATACTTGTCCCATCTGCTTCGCACTCCCAGCAGTCGAGCGTGTTCCAGTGACAGTGGAAGCGACAGTATTTTGGCCGAATGCATGGACGAGTGAGTCTTGGTGATTGCAAGATCAATCGTCTAATCAAATTACACAAGCAAGTCAAGCCAGTTACAGTTTAAAAAACCATTACATAATATGTTGCTGCAAATTCTACAATTCAGTACTCGCCCCACGCACACAAATGAGATAAACACTTGGGGTTGAAGGAAGCGCGAATATCAATGTCTCGAATCTGTCTTTGGGTGAATATTGAACTTGTCGTTACCAACCCACCCAGGTAGATATCTAGGCATCCGATCCGCCCTTCTTACGGCAATACTCCTAAAAGTTCCATCATTCAGAAGCTGGAAATTGAAAAAGAATGGAGACGCGGGGAATCGAACCCCGGACCGCTTCTATGCTAAAGAAGCATTATACCACTAAACCACATCCCCTTTTAGCAATAAGCGTATTTAATGTTACTCATGAATAATATAACTAGATTGTTCTCAGGTACTGAACTAGCGATCGATCTTCATTTTAGCCAGAAATCTCGCTTTAACCGCACACTGCTCCACCCAGGAAGCCCATACGCAGAAGATATATTCATCAAGGGTCCCGTGAAGATATCGGAAGGTCATCTTTAAGACTTAACCGACGGCTTTGCTACATGGATCTGTTCAATCGGTCCGATCCCGCCCGATTCACCGGTCCGCCGGGGCCGGAATAGATCTCACAATCCTTGCCCCAGATCGTTTATCAATATCAGCCGATTCAAGTTACACCAGAAGAAGATACGTTGAGGGAAAACTACATAAGGTGGTTGGTTCTTGTTTGCCGGTTTGTTTTGTGATATCGTTGTGTGAAGCTCGATTGGAAAGAGAGCGAGTGAGTCTTGGTGACGCTGAAGATGATAAAGGTAAGTAAAAAATTTATCGCAGCAGAGTTAACAAAATGTTCGAAGGGGACTAAACGGCTGCAATATTTGAGCCTGTGACTCTCCGGCCCGAGAGTCAGATCACTTGCCAAATCATAGCACTCGACTGACGTATTGTGCCTCAGGTACCTGACGATCCAGTCATTCTTGCTTATTTGAATTTCAACGCCCTAATACACCATCACGACTATACCTTTAACTTTGTATACCTGAATAACTAAATATCACACAATATCGGGAAAACCGTGGCCATGACAGTTCTTCGCGCGACACAATTCGTTACTAATCATGACGTCGGTCCATCAACTCGCTCCTTGACTACCAGGCCTCGGAAAGTCGTACAGCTTTGGGATCTCCTGGTAGTCTATCCGATTGTTGTGTCCATCGCCAAAAGTCTTAATTTGAAAGAGCTGATTTCTCTGACACTGACCGACAAGAGTTGTTTCGCTTTCCTACGTGGTGGGGATTGGGGTGATGACTTGCGTCATTGGAACAACCTGAAGTCAAATTGCAATGAGATTTGTGAATTTAACTCCACACACGAATATCTTCCTCCTGTAAAGGGCATCATGGCGTGCCACAAATGCAGGTACGGTGTCTGTAATGTAAGTATTCTAGCTACTCATTTCTTTAAGCTTCGATAGGCACTTAATTGATAGCTAATATTTGTTAATATGCAGCACTGTGTGGGCCCAGTAGGACATCTTGGGAACTCTCGCCGTCAGATATGCCCTAGCTGTGTTGGGAAACGCTTGGCTTCCCATAGCAGATATATGAACAAACCAGAACTCCCAAATTGCTCGTGTGCAGGCGCCGAGCCATGGCTGTGTCAAATGTGTTGGAAAGAGAACTACTTTTCCACTTTTCAAGAATCTGCGGGTACATGCTGCGATTGCGATTGCAAGTTCGTTGTTGGATCTAAAGCACATTTCGTCTGCAAATGGTGTAGAGGGAAGATGTTGTAACTCGGCAGTTCTTTTAGAGAGGTTGTATGTATCGACGATCTCTCTGCGATGCTACTGAAGTGATGTAAGTGTTATTACTGTGTTTTGATACGTGTTCCTTTGTTGATTTGTTTATTGTAAAATCTGGCACGGGTGTTTGGAGTAGTACAATCTGTTGTCCTATTCTGTTTTTTTTTCCTTTCCTCTTTCATGCCTATAATATATCACTACATACCTTTCTATTCTAAATATAACTATCCGGCCAGGCTAATGCGCCCTCTACGAACGTCAGTTCATCTGATGAGTTGGGGCACCATGTATACTTATATACATGCATACGCAGATATTGCCGCTGTGCTACATATACATTAATTGTAGACATTCGGGCTTTGGATCTGGTTCGCGGCTTTCCTGTACTGCCAAGTGGATCAGGAATCGTCTAGGCACGTTCCCTCTCTCGATCGTTGGACGTTAAATTTCTCCACATTGTGGTACCGCACGGGACTCAAGTTCATGTATGTATCACCGGGAGTTTGTGTACTTGGTGAATCAATCACCAAGGATCACTCACTAGGGTAACAGCCCTTGGTATTCCTGGCGGTACCATCCATGAGTAACGCACTTACACATTTCCGCCCCCCAACCTAACTGAGAATTTTGCAGCAAATTGAAACCTAACCACCCCTCGCCGGAAGATCACTCCTGGTGGAACTTTGAGGTAATTCTGCGGCCATAACGCATCGGTTCCTCAGGAATCGTTCTCTATTTCGACTAACGCAAAGCACAACTCTTCCCGTTATTTATGGGTTGTTGGATGACTCTCGATCTCATTAAAGCCCAAACACCCGTCCCTCTCCCCTGGCCATGGCTTACGTCTCTATACTACCTTGATCCGTTTCAATTTGAATTTCCTCGGTTTACCAATTGTCTTAATCACTGAGGTAAAGATATCTCAAGTCCCAGGTTCAAAAAATTAACAATATGCACTTTTCTGGCGGCCCGGGCCGCACCCTGCATGTATGTACACATGTACCAAGTATATGTATGTATGTATATACAACCGTAGAGCGAAAATGTAGAGTACGTATTTTGGTGTGACAATTTCAAGCATTATATTAACTGCATAGTCCCTAGAGTGTCCCTCCGCATGTCTTGTTGGCGCAAAGTCACGCCTTAGTCGACTCTATCCCGATGGGTTTATAACAGTGCAAAGGGATGGGTTGAAGATTTGAAAGACCCGGCATAATAGAGGTGGTCACCGGAACGCCATACTAAAGAAAAGTCGGAAAGAAAGGTGAATTTTAAGTCCTATCTAGCTACAAACCTCAAGTAGGCATCAGCGGATCATGGCTCACCCCCACAAACTCTCCGAGTATGGGGGTTTTCCTAAGGAGTGCAGCATGAATCATTATGCCATGGAACACATGCGGGGACCCGATAGACCGTTCATTCAATTCCTAGTTCTAGTTGACAACCGGGTAAGCCCGGTATTAAGCCTCGTGATCAGCGACAGGTTTCCAACTTTTGGGCATGATCTGTTCGTGAAAGGAGGGCAGTCTTTCATAGACCTATAATACTGCTCATATGCCTGGTCTTTCCAGCACAATTTGCACAAAGGGGCCAAACGATATGTTTGCATCCTACATTGGCCAGTACTATGTTGCGCTCCTCCTCGTCAACCCTAGCCACCACCATATTGGACCCGATTCTTGTATCACTTATACAACGTAACGGAAGATTCTATAACTAAAAAATATACGGAATACTTTAGCAATATCAAAGAGTTCCGATGTACGGAAACCCCTACTTATCATACGATATCACTTCAAACGATGTTTACACAGGATCAATTGGGGGAACTTGGTCAAGCATTTGCAAGTTCCCTCGTCCCGACGGGTGTGAAGCGACCAACGGGATGGAATTGCCAAACATGAACCAGAGATGTAGTGTTAAACATGACATGGGGTTGGTTACGCTTTCGACGGACAAGAAGGTGGGTTGCAAATGATGGAGTTTATCGAACAGGTGGCAGATCACAGGCAACATGAGACTGCCGGTGTTGTTGGCAAGAATACCTTTTATGGATGGTCACAAATATAGTTTTTTTCGAGTGCCTAAGCGGTCATGCATTTCTTTTCTAGGTATGTCGATGGGTTATTGGAATCACAGCGAATCGAGTGTGAACGGAATCTCTGCAGAACGGTACAGCGTGAAGTAATCACAGATATTTTTACTCTTCGATTTTTACTTCGTCAGCATAATCCGTAACAGCATAATCCGTAACTGCGTATTTCTATATATGTGGTAGATTAGATACCGATCCACGAGATGAAAAGCCCGGTTCCCATAGGTGATACACTAGTGCGTGTACGCACACGCATAGCTTATACCTGGAAATGAGACCGTAAGAATATTATGTGTGCTGGTTTAGTTTGACATATGGGCTGTTTCCCATTCCTTTTTCTAATTAGACAGACATGCAAAAGAACGGGGTGAAACTAATCGAACACCATTAGAGCATTGTAAAAACGTTGCGTTTATAAATTTCTGCTACACCGACTAGCTATGATAATCTTGCAGTGCATCTTTTTTACTCAAAGTACCTACATGCAGCTGCAAGAGACATGTGTAATTTAAGCCGGCGTTTGAGGTGCACTGATGCGAGTGCAAGTATGATGCGATAATGTATATGGTATACGTGAGAGTGTAATACCGTGCACTTGTAACTAATCATAATCAGGGCTCAATGAGAATATTAGGCGCTAGATCATTGTAAATCGCTATGTGGCGCATATTGCCTTTATATATTCCGTAGGCGTTCATGTAGCCATTCCTATAATACAGCGGTGGGTAATAAGTCATCGGATGACCTAGCCACAATTTTGCCTGCAAACGCGTACATGTATTTTAGCAGCGTTCCGTCCGATGACGTATTACCCACCGCTGTACCCAGGGGTGCCGGAAAGTGATGCAACGTTTAACCTAGCAACGCGGAAAGGCACTCAGAATTTCAATTTTTAACGTAATACAGTGCTTAGGCAGGATGGATTTTTTAGCTATACATCTGATATATGAGTCTCTAGAATAGAGTCTACATTTTTTCAGGTCATTGATTTGGGGTTTTAGCCTGAAAAAGGACAACTTGTGACAAAAGACAGTAATAAAAGAGAAGCAATAGCGATTCATACTGAATCTTACCATAACTATCATTCCTAGCTTCTAAATTACTATAGATTCGCTCCACATTCTGTTAGCTAGTCTAGTTGTTGAGGAATACTGACTATTTGATCGTTGCATCACTTTGCGGCACCGGTACATGTAATTAAGTGTAGCTAAGTGAAGATATGTACATGTATGTACGTTGTATTACCATAGACTACAGTACCAAAAAAGTGGGTGGATCCAGTACCGCACCTAGCAAAATACTACAAAACTACGGTATTGCTACGGTATTGCTACGGTATTGCTGCGGTATAACATTTAAAATTCCGATTTAATTCGGAAGTTTTAAACAATTCCGTATTGATACAGTACGTATTATATCCCCTTTTTTGGTACTGTACGGTCTGCGCGC